AAAATGTGGTAGCAGGCTTTTCAGATTCACCCATTGTCATTTTACTGATTGCCAAAAATTTTGACATTATTTTCAAAGTGGATTGACATTGCAGAAGTTTAATCCTGTAAGACAAAAATGGTATGTGTGCTTCTTCCTGTGCTGTTTCTTTCTACTCTTGGATTTCCCATTTTGTCTTTCAGCTGTGAGTTTGGAGATCATTTTTTCTACTGAACTGTCCTGATTTAGCTTGAACCAGTGTTACTCCACTAAATTGCCTATTCCCACATTTCCAGCTATCTTGTTTTTTTTCCTGACAAAGTCTTATTTTCATCCTGTTTCTTTTGACCATGTACTGTATGTCTACATGGTCTTACACTTTTTGGCAGTCTATTCTTTACTTAGACTCTTCCTCATTTCTTTGACATGGTTTTCCTTCTGAGGTACAGAGATCTCCATTGTTCTAAGTCAGGTGATTAGATACGATGGAACAATAAACACATATAGATGCTTCCGCTGCATGCTGCTCAACAAACTCAACACAGCTGACAACGCACATTTGGAGGTCAAATATGAAGGTTTTGTTTCTGGTCTGCTTTCTGGTCTAAATGCAGGGTATTGTAGAAGAAAAAAAATCTTTATTTTCCTTTTAGATGCATTCTTTGTATTGTGATTCATGCAGAGTAGTACCAAATCCCGGTTGCTTGGTTTTTGGCATAATCTGAAAAGTCTACACTTCAAAATAGATTGACAAGTGAAGCAGCTAAAAAAGAGTCCTTGCTTTCATCTCTTACTTCAAGAAAAAGGTGTTAGGTTTTGTCTTCCATCTCATATGTCTTTCTGTAAAGATGTTCTTGCCTGACACATAGCATTGTGTTGTACTGTACTTTAAAAAATATTTTGGGCTGTGACATTGTGTTTGTATGTAATATGCTGCTGCTATTATTGTTGTTGTTGTTGTTGTTGTTAAAAAACTCCAAGTACAGTCAAATTATAAAATCATTGACTGGTATTACATAACAGATACAGGTTTTAACTAAAAACCTAAATATCTGTTAAATATCGACACAGTATGTATTCTGTTCCAAATATTACCATTTTTAACCTAAACGCAACTGCTTATAGTACTGTACTGTGTGAAGTTTCTTGATATTGTTCCCAAAGCCCAATGACTACGGGGACCACTGAAATGTGTTTCTTCCAGAGGTGAGATGTTTCTATTGCCAGGTCTCTGTACTTCGTTAGTTTTTCCAATTCTTTATTTTCAACTCTGGCATCCCCTGGAATTGCAATATCAATGATCCAGACCTTTCTTGGTTATATTACTACTGGTGTGTTATGTTCAAGGCATCTATCAGTTTAAATCCAGAAATCACACAAGATCTTGATTTCCTCATTTTCTGACACCTTCTCTACCTGATGTTCCCATGGGTTTTTGGAGGCTGACAAGTTATATATATATTGGCTGGACGTTCACAGATGAGGTGTGACACAGTTTATCATCATCATCATCATCATCATCATCATCATCATCATCATCATCATCATCATCATTATTATTATTATTATTATTATTATTATTA